AGAAAGAGAATGCCATTACCTTGAGAGAGGGAGTGTCACCAATCAGTGTCAGACCATATCGCTACCCTCAGATTCAGAAGCATGAGATCGAAAAGCTTATCTAAAAGATGGTGGAGGCAGAAATCATCCGACCGAATGTGATCCCTTTGTTTAGCACAATCTTATTGGTCAAGAAGAAGAATGGGAGCCTAAGATTCTGCGTGAACTATCGGGCTCTGAATAAGGAGACTATGCCATACAAGTTTCTCATCCTGGTGATAGATGAGCTGCTGGATGAGATATATAGAGAAGTGGTGTTCTCAAAGTTGGACCTAAAGTTGGGGTACCATCAAATTTGGATGAGAGAAGAGAATGTCCCGAAGACTGCATTTAGAACACATGAGGGATACTATGAGTTCTTAGTGCTGCCATTCGACCTCACCAACGCCCCTGCTACCTTTCAGTCCCTCATGAATAGGTTTTTTCAACCATATCTCCAGAGGTTTGGATTGATTTACTTTGGCGACTTATTGATGTATAATAAGTTTATGGAGGAGCATTTGGCGCACTTGAAGGTGGCCTTCGAAGTGTTACATGAACATCAGTTCAGAGCCAATCTGAAGAAGGGCTATTTTGCACAAGCAAGTGTGTGGAATACTCCGGGTATGTGGTATCTTAAGAGGGAGTGGCGGCGGATCAAGCTAAGATTGAGTCCAAGCATAAATGGCCACTACCTAGGATTCTGAGAGAGTTAAAGGGCTTCCTAGGGTTGCTGGGTATAACAGGAGATTCGTGAGCGGATACAACACCATAGCCTGGCTATTGACAGAGCAGTTTAAGAATGACAGCTTCTTGTGAGGAGAGGCTACTACCTAGGCCTTTAAGCAATTGAAGAAGGTCATGACCACAATACCGGGCTTGGCCCTACCGAATTTCTGTCAGGTTTTACGGTAGAGACCGATGCATCGAGATATGACTTAGGGGCAGTGCTCATGCAGAATCACATCCTATTACCTACTTCAGCTAGGTGTTGACAGCTAGAGCTAGGCTAAAGTAAGCCTACGAGAGGGACCTGATCACTATTGTGCTAGCTATTCAGAAGTGGATACCTTACTTATTGGGCTGACATTTAATTATCAGGACGGATTAAAGGAGCTTGAAGTACTTGTTAAAGCAAAGGATGGTGACCGAGGAGCATCAAAGGTGATTGTTAAAATTGTTAGGCTACGACTATGAGATCCATTATAGGCCCGAATTAGAGAACAAGGATGTTGATGCCTTGTCTAGATGCATGAGGTAGCTTCAAGAGTTAGTTATTTTGATACCACTAATGCTGGATTGGGAGGCTATTGAAGAGGAGAGTGTGCAGGATAAGGAGTTGGGATGGATTAGAGTAGATCTACTTAAGGATGGGAAAAATCACCCCGACTATTCTCTAGAGGAGGGGGGGGGGGGTCATTCTGGTGTGCAGAAGACCTACAGGAGATTAGCAGCTGAGCTATATTGGAAGAGCATGCGCAAGGATGTGGAATATATGGTGGTAAGATGTGAGGCATGCCAACAGAACAAGTATATGGCCATGGCTCATGGGGGTCTACTTCAACCCCTAGCTCTTCCAGACAGGGTGTGGGAGGAGGTTACCATGGGCTTTATAGATGGGCTACCCCGATCTGAGGGGTTTATAGTGATTTTAGTGGTGGTTGACAGATTGAGCAAGTATGCCCATTTGATTCCCCTACAACACCCTTACACGACAGTGAGGTAGCAGTGGCATTCATCAAAGAGGTGGTCATATTATATGGAATATTAGAGTTTATAGTGTCCGATAGGGATAAGGTGTTCATCAATAATTTTTGAATGGAGTTATTCAGATTGGAAGGAATAGTGCTGAAGAGGAACACCGCCTATCACCCTTGGATAGATAGGAAAATAGAAGCGGTGAACAGGAGCTTGGAGATGTACCTATGATGTTTTGCTTTTGAGACACCTAGGTTGTGGGCTAAGTGACTGGCATGGGAAAAATTGGTACAACACCTCTTATCATTCATCAACTCAAATGACCCCTTTTAAAGGGTTGTACGGAAGAGAACCACCTCACTTAGCACACTTTGTGTAGAGGAGCACGGCGGTTTCCTCAGTAGAACAATATTTAGGATAAGGAATAGGGTGTTAGACATGTTGAAAAGGAACTTGTTGAGGGCTCAACAGATTATGAAGAAGCAAACGGATGATCATAGGAAGGATATCTAGTTTGAGATAGGAGATAGGGTATACTTAAAACTACGCCGCTATAGATAGAGGATGGTATCTCATAGGAGGAATGAAAAGCTGGCCCTGAGATATTTTGGCCCTTGCAAGATAGTAGAGAGGATTGGAGTTGTGGTTTATCGGCTGAAGTTACCCACGACCGCTACTATACACTCGGTTTTCCATGTATCATAGATGAGAAAAGTTATTGGGGATCATACAGCTAGTTTAGAATTATCAGAGACATTGGCAGTGAATATGGGGTAATGCTAGAACCACTGGAGCTGAAATGGGTATGAACCTACTTGACTATGATGCCACCTAGGAGCTATATGAGAGAGTGAAGTATCAATTTTCGTCTTTCCACCTTGAGGACAAGGTGGCTCTCTTGGGGGTGAGAGAGTATTGATGGACCAATCTTTGGACGGTCCAATTTAGACCGATTATTATATACCAGAGGAGGAATAAGGTTCCGCCCCATGTAAAGCCGTAAGGGGTGGGGTTAAGCAATCTCAATATAACACATATACACCATACAAAGCACTTTACATGGCCGGAAAAATCCAATGTCATAAAAGTTGTCCACAAGAGAGTGTTGGCATGTTCATCGAATTGGTAGGACTATATTTGGGCGATTGATGTTGAAGGGACCATAGTTGGCGAATGGCGGAGGTCGGAAGGATCGTAGTTGCACGACAATGATCAGAAGGATCATAGTCAAATGACAATGGTCAGAAGGACTGTAGTGGGGCAATGGTGGCCGAAGGGACTATAGTAGGGTGGAGATGGAGGTCGAAAGGATCGTAGTCTGTGGGAGACGATGGTTCGAAGGATCGTAGTTGGACGACAATGGTCTGAATGACTGTAGTCGGGCGACGGTGATCGGAGGGACCATAGTCATGAGCGACAGTGGTTGGAAAGATCATAGTTGGTTAGTAACGGATGTTAGAAGGATTGTAGTCAAATGATGGTGGTCGAAGGCACCGTAGTCAATAGGCAGCGATGGTAAGAGAAAGGCCCGATAGTGGAAGCTAAATGGAGGTCCAACAGCGATGGTCGAGCAAAGATTCAACGGTGACGACATAGTGATGCGGATTTGTCGGCAATGATGTTGGGGTAGCGCTCCACGATTCTTTAAGTCTCAGAGCTCTTCTCTTCCTCCTCCTCCCTCTTCATCTAAGGAATGAGGATCTATTTATAATTTTTTGGGAGTGACATGCTTAGTAAATATGAAGAATATACAAGATAAATTTGTAGTGTTCTATCGGACGGGTGATATCAATTCTCTGATATTGAAATGTTCTTTAAACATTTATGTCTTAATAATGTCAAAATTCAATGATCTTGGGTTCGTTGGATTCGTCTCGTTGAGCCACTAAATTCAATTATGAGCATATCATATTCTAATATCATTTGGTCATCAAATTAATGATCTGAAGCTTCCAAAAATATTTTGCTCATTTGATTTAGGCTCATTTGGGCTCAGATTAGACGGAATTTGTTATCATTGGGTCCGTTTCAATGAGATGTTCAATTTGTCTATAAGCTTGCTAAATCCGGAGTTTGCATGGTCATGAATTTAATTTTAGAAGTTTTTTATTCATATTTGCAACGAGATTTGTGCTTGATCAAAGCGATTTTTAGTGACGTATAAGTTTAATGCCAAGAAAAATGAAAAATAATACAACGAATAATTTACAATCCTAGAAGCAATAATAAAGTTCATAATTAAAAATGAAATTATAAGGGGCGGGGGGTAAAAAAATCCAATCTTATCATTCTAAGGCTAATATACCCCTTCTTCCTCCAAATCCAACTTATTTTATCTCTCTTTTCAGTTTATGAGATCAATAAGATTTATACTGTAATAAACCAAACCAAGTAATCGGATGGAAGGAGAAACAACAGAAAATAGGTGCTTTGAATGGTATTTTTAAATGTAGGGTTTAGATTTTATTATTTAAAATCAAAGAATTGGGATCTTATTTGAGTGAAATATCAAGCAGAGTTTGAATTGTAGTATAGATAAAGCATACTGGGAGGGTAAAATTAACAATAAATTTTAAATTTTGAATTCTAAATGAGTAAATAACGCACACTTAATTAGACTCATAGTAATGTTAAGGGGCCGGGCCAGGTGGTGCAAAGAGCTTGTGTTTGTAACTTTGCGTGTATGTTTCATTATGTAACGGTGGTTTTGTTGTTCGATAAAGTGTATCTCTTAAAAATTAATTAATAATGAAGGAATTGTTAAGAGGGGAAAAGAGAAAGCAAGAAACATATCTTGCAAAACCATGATGATATAACACATTCAATTTTCTGTTGCATGGCTTGATTGAGTCCACCTAAATCACTCCAAATGCAAACAAAAGAGTAATAAGAAGGATGCTAATGAGCTCCAGTAATAAATAGATAAACTACTCTATCCATAAACAATCCAGCTCTTAAAACAAAAAAAAAAACTTCTGTAGAAAATTAACCAAGATTTTATTACATCACTTATGATGAAAGGGGCACCAGATTTAAACAAGGAAAACCCCCTCGTATGTTGTTAATAGGAAACTTGATCATATATTAGGAAAAAAAAAAAAGAACAGTGTTTATGTTTCTCAACATTTGAATTATAGGTTGCAAAAAACAACAGCATAATCGTATGAAAAAAATGTATTCATGTTCAAAAACCCATCCAAGCAATCGCCAAAGAGGCTTTATGATAGTAGCGAATTCATTATATCACAGGAAAATGCTACGAAAAATAAAAGCAACATTCTTACCAGAGAAACTGAAAAATTATCTAGATACTCCATTGATGAAAGATTAACGCCTGGCGAAAGCAACATATATGAAGAAGATTCCTCTGGCAATGATGATATAAGATTCTTTGACTCGTTTTGACTAGAATTAATCTCAAACATGATATTCTCTTGATCACTTTGACTCACAAAAGCTTTTAACATGTTTAAACGAGCCATTTCTGCCATTTTCTCATTATGAACCCCTTTCAAGCATGATTTCTGAACATTAAATCCTATTAATTCTGAAGAATCATCACTCGTGCAGTCCAAACCCATTTTCTTTCCCCCCTCTTCGAAGCTAATAGGTGGTTTCTTCTTCTCAAAGTCCATTGTGATAGAAGAACTCTGACTATCATCTTCTCCGAAATCAAGAATTGGCCTTGGAACAAAATCCTAGTTGAAAAACTCATAGGTTATTGGGCTAGGATTGAAAGCCGCCCAATCATAAAAAATGGCCATATTTCCATCCATGTCAAGTACTACTCTTGCCTCTATCAAAAAATTCTCTTGAGAAACGAACAATAATAATTTTCAACCTACAATAACATGTAACAAACTCCAGCATCAATAACAGTGTTCAGCGATGAAATGAAAAGGGATGCAAAAGGCCAGTCATAAGAAAAAGGGTCTTTTGAAAATATAAATAAAACCCCAACTTTCCACTGAGGCGCTCAAACAACTAAAAATAAAGACAACATAAGAAACCAAATATAAAACCAAATTTTCACCATTGAAGTGACACAAATCTAAGAGCTTTAAAGTTCATCCTAATGCAAAGCACGTCAGAAAATTCTAACATAATTTTTTCCCCCGAAAATACTGTGTGCATCTGTCAATGAATAACGTACCTGTGAAGGTTTGTTGTATTTTGGCTGTGAATATGTTAAATTAGAGCATCAAGTTATATATTACGGTAAAATTAATTAATAAATATTTGGATTACACCTGCACAACAAATATATATTTTTGCACTCTAGAACTAAATAAATAATCTATGCTAGTTAATTTCACAAATAGAATGATTTCTGCTAGAATTATATGGAACTATTGTCTTTTGGCTACTCTGTTTTTCAAACTTTTTTATGGATATAATTGGGCTCATAAAAATGATGTATTAAATTGTTGTTTCCGATTTCATGTGCAGCTCATATACTTTTCCATATTTCTCCTGATACATCTTCAGACTTCACAAATTTGTGTTGCTGATGGATGGCAATTAACTTATTTATAATTTTTTGTCTATGTCTAAAAGGGGCAGAGCCAGATATTTTCATTAATGAGAGCACAAATTGATGATTTTTAAAATATTCTTAATCTTTTTTGATGATTTATTTTCACTTTTTTATTTAATAGTTCATAGTAAAATAATATTTTGATCGCTCATGACCATCAATATTTATTTTCAATAAATTTGTAAATTTTATGTTCTATATTCTATTATTTGTACTTAGACGCCATCTCCTCAATATTTCAAAAAAAAAAAAAACCCTCAGAGGTCATCCTCTGATGTGCTGCATACAAATGAATCTATCAAATAATCGAGAAAAGGGTAAGGCACCTCTATTGAATGTTCTTATCCCCCTTAAGGGAGGTTTGGAATCCTATTTTAGGCAGAATTAAAATAAAATTTAATCTATAACTTCTATCAAAATAAAATTTCTAAGATTTCAAATCCTATCATTTTAATAAATCTCATTTCAATTTCATTAATAATTAAATTCAACATTTATTAATCTCATCATCTATCTTCTCTAAAACGAATTTAAAGTTCTCTCCTCTCATAAATTATCTTAAATACCGAAACAAATAGCAAATAATTTATTGAACCTCAACTAAATAATTTTCAGAACAAAATGCAAGCACGTAATTAACAAATGGTTGATGAGTAACGAGAGTTAAAATTGCAATGCCTGAGAGCAGCGGAGAGAACTGATTTGTTTAAATATTGCAAACCATCAGAGAAACCAACGAGTAGAAGAAAACAAATCATCAGATAACTAAACGAGTAGAGAACCAAAAAAATAAACGAAGGAAGAAGCTAAACCCTAATCGAGATTTGGGGATGAAGATGAGACATACTGAAACTGAAGACTGGAAGAGATACTCGATAGAGGCCGTGCGGAGCCGAAATAATTTAACCTGCATGGCTTGTCTATTTATAGAGATGCGACGGTTTGTTACAGAGGGAGAAATAGCAGGAGAAGACGTTACTCCTCTCCCACCTTAATCCCAATCTGCATGTTTTGATTTAATTTTATTTTAATTTATTTTAAAATGAATATATTATATAGGCACTTAATTAATTTCTTATTACACTTATCTTGAAATAAATTAAAAAAGTTTAAAATCCATCTGATCAAATTTAATAGATATTCTCAAACAATTTTTTTTAATTGAAAGTACAGTGAAAGTAGAGCTATAACTCTTCATTTTAAATAGATAATTTTAGTCGGGATGATCAACTAACACTTATTAATAATTTTTTAACTCTTGCTCTTAAAAATTAATTTATAGATTTTAAATTTAATATTGATCAAATTTTGATAAAATTTTTTTCATATATATATATATATATCATAATTTCCGCTAGTTATTTATTTAGGTCTTTGTTCAAAACTTCTTCTGTTGTAGCACCAACAGCAGAATTACCATGGAATCAATATACATCTGATTCAGCAAAGATAGGGATTCCATAAGGCATCAGATGCCGCTAGGGATACAAACGAGTTAAGTCGAGCTCAAGTTATAGTGTATTTGAGTTGAGCTTGACTATCAAATGACAAGCTCGAGCTCAACCCGACAGGGAAAAAAGAGCTCGTCGAGCTGCTCATCCGCGTCTGTCTGTCATCAGTGTCCGTCCGTTCCCGTCATCTTCGCCAATTTCATTCATCGTCGTCCTCACCACCATCCGTCGCCACTCACTAGAGTTCGCATCGTCTTCGCCAACGTAAGTCACCAGTGTCCGGCCATCAGCATCAGCCGTGATTTCATTTCACTGCCAGCAAGATCATGTTTCATTTTCCCATGTACGTGATTTATTCTTCTCGCCGACCAGCGTCCATCGTGCAAAGGGTTGTTCGATCTAGATAAGTTGTTAAGCTCAAAATCGTGTTCATCACGACTTGCGAGCTCGATAACAGCTCAGCTCGTCGAGCTTGTTACCAAGTCGATCTCGAGCCAACTCTCAAGTCAGGGTTGCACCCTTAGATAAGATGCAGCAGACACTCAATGTCATATGGATCTTTAAAATACTAATTTAGCTGATAAAGTGATTGAATATTTATGACCTGCTAAGCTCAATTAGAAGCATGACTGAACCCAGTAAGTTCTACATTGGTACGATCAATATATGAGAATGTTGCATTCGCTATGCCGAAGAAGGTTCTCCCTATTCACTGCAAAAAAAAAAAAACCCTTTACCCTCCACAATTATCTTTGATACCATCATGCCTCACACTCTATCCTTGATTCCGTTTTGCAAATCCATCATAAGATCACTTCTTTATTCCAGCTGAAAATGCTCATTGTTGTATAGATACACACTTGGCCTGATGGAAAAAAAAATACGAGAATGCAATAAATTGTATAACAATAACATACTTTGCTCATCTCCTGAAAGCATTGCTTTCATGGGCAGAGTGTCCTTGAGAATAATATGTTCGACGCCTTACGCTCTCCTCAATTGTAGCGCTCCCTCCCACCCCCATTCCATAAACACTCTTTTGCGTTGCATCCAAGAAACTTTTTCCTCTGGAATACGTAGCCTGCTTTGCCTCCAAGGCATCAGCCTCAGCTGCCTTCTTCAACCTTTTCCACCTCTGATCCTCATGGAGCTCGGCGTCCATTTGCATCTCCCGCAACCGTGCTTCCCTCTCCTCCTCTGTCATCTTTGGAACACCTCGACGATTATTATATCCAGTGTTCTGTTTCTGTTTCTGAGAGTGGATCTCTGTATTCCTTGCGTCTAAATTATGCTTTGTTGTTAATGCGTCACTCCTCTTCTCTTCATTGACACTGATTCTGTGTTTTGGGCTGGAATATAATTTAGATGAATGCCTATCATTTGATTTTCTGATATCATAATTATCGGACCTCTTTTTCTGCTCACTATGACCTGCATATTTGTCACCGAAATGGTCTCTGGAAGAGTGATTGTCATGTTCTGAGTGTTTATGGCGATCAGATTTTAAATCATCACTACGAACTATAGATGAATGTTTCTCAACATTTTCATTGCTGTTCTCACGCCGTTTGGTCGTATGATTTATCTTCCTTTTGCCTTCCTTTTCTTCATTTCTCCGATCTTCCTTATCCTCGGCATTACTGTGTTGTTGCCATTCAGGTGAACGATCTCGTCTCCGATGATCTTCATATTCAGAATCTGATTGAGATTTAGATAGATTTTTATCCTTTGAATTGCTCTGATCATGCTTGTGTTTATTTCTTTTCTTTTGGCGTTCCTTCTTAACCTCCTGCTGCTTGTTCCCAGATTCAATCTGCCACAAAAAGTTTTTTTTTCTCAAATGGTTGGATAAGTGGTAAACAGAAAATATATTTTGACCAGGATTTAATGTACATAAGAGGGCATGCGATAACCAGGTTTAAAACTAAGGCCCCATTTGGTTGCTTTAAATTAGAAAATATATTTTCAAAATGATAACATTTGCTAATTTCTTTATTTGGTTGGATATAGTGAGAAGTCAACAATAGCTTTTATCTTAAAATACCTACTTAAAATCAAGATTGTGAAACAGGACCGGACAACGAACCAAAAAAAGAAGAGGTTCACAGTTCAATGGTTTAACCAAATCAAAATTGAACCAGATGATATAATAAATACTAATTTTATTAAAAAATAATAAAACTTACACGATAGTGATGCTGTGATTCCAAATATGTGACAAAAATTTAAACAGAAAAAACTTTAACAATCCAAATTTCAGTTAGTTCAAGCCGTTACTCAAAGCTAAACAAGAACTATTAGACTCAATTTCCTGTTGTTAAAAAAACTAGGTATCTGCCCTGTATGCTCTCACTTCATTCAAAATAAAAAATACATCACATAGAAATAAAACTTGATGCAGATGTCGCTATTATATAAACCCTTACTTCAACCTACAGCTATTCTGAAAATGTCACTATTATATCAAAATGAAAAAACTAAGTTGCAACAATTTAATATAGTGGATTCGAATGTAAGACTATAAGAGTAGGAAGCTACTTGGGTCAATGCCAAAGATGATGGAGGGTGAGCTTTAATTCAACGTTCTCCACATTTGATGGATTTTTTAATCTCAATTTTCACAAAGCAAAAGGGCTGAGAAGCATGATTGTGAGCTACATGAACTAAAAACAAACAGGAAACTCACAGGAGAGTGCGAGCAGCAACTCTTCGATGAAATCCGGAGAAGGGGCCTTCAAGATTGCAAGCGGAAGCGGCTTCGAAATGCCGAGGACGGAGAACTAGGGGAGAGGTAAGCTTCACGAGTTCACATTCTAGGAGAGGAAACTCAGAAGAAAATTGAGCGATGGATTTGTTTTAGGGCTTTCATTTTATTAATTAGGTTTACGAAGTGTAATTTTAATCGCTAGATTTGACATCGAGGGATGAACAGGGCAATATGAACTGAGCAGTTCTTTTGAAACCAGCCGGTTCGCCGGTTTCCCGATTGAACCGACAATTCCACATGTTTTACCCTGATTTGACTGCAGAACTATTTCATTAGTAGACCCAGACTGACTGCCAGACCAGTTCTCGGTTGAACCGGCCAGTCCGATCTGACTTTTAAAACCATGCTTAAAACTCTACCAAATATAATGATTTCAATTTCACATATAAAACAAAAAAAAAAATCATCAATTTGCAAAACATGCTTTCTCTTTACAAAAAACCAAAAAATTATAGGATTAGATTTGTTACATGAAGTTAAAGACTTTAAATGAGAATACAAGATGATATGGTTACACCGTTACAATAATCAAGAATAAATAATGCTCATTTACAAAAAGGTGATATTGAGTCAAGTTCAACCTCCATCCCTACATTCAACCGAAAGTATAATCATGGAGAAATTTTAAAGTGGATCAATTATTTGAAAGATTTCATTAAATACTATATTTTATTTAATTTAAAAAAATAAGTCTCTGAATAAAATTAGTGAAACATGCTCAACTATTAAAAAAAAAAAAACATTGCATTTAAAACTAAATTAATATGTTTTATCATGAAACATAAACCTAAAGATAAATGTCCACGCTTTAATGAATATATATATATAGAGCAATTGCATAATGGATTTAAGAGTTGCAAAGAAATACAATTCTAACATTTTTTAATATTATGCAAGTTTTATACATCTTACAAATGTATATGATTTGCGTCAAGCAAAATTTATTATCATAACTTCTTTTAGTATGGGTTTTAGGCGAGGATTTCTAAAAGAAATAGGCTATAATTAACTGAAAACACTATCTTTTAGATGCACATTATGCAAGTTTTACACGACCTAGACATATGATTTGCCTCCAGAGAATTTTATCATCACTAGTTGCTTTATTATAAGTTTTTGACAAGAATTTAATAATGAACTAAACTATAATTAACCCAAAATATTATCTAAAATTTCATTTAAATTGCTGAATATTGAAACATGTCAAGAGTATTCTATTAGAACAATCGCACCTGTGATTTCTAATTGAATATCATCTTCTATGAAACCACGCACACCAACACAAAAATCATACATAATTAAATATGATTTTATAGGAGAGATTGTAGCTCATGAATATTCTTTTGAGGATGTATTCAATGTAGATATGATTTGTAGTTGCAAACTAAATTTCTTTTGATATTGTTGAAATTGAAACTGCGCCTACATTAGACAAAATTTATGAACTTGACATATACATGCACAAAAGTCAACTGAAATTTGGAAGCAAGTTTGGGCGCATATCGGAACATGAATTTATAATAGAGCTCAGATATATTCCTAGATGTGAATTTGAATCAATTATAATTTGATGGTTAATGAATCAAATAAGCAACCTAAAATATAACACTTGTTGAATTATATGAGAATATTATAAATGATTGGATTGATATTGATTTTCTTTTTAGTTCTTGGTTTAGAGATGTATAAATTCATAAAATGAATCTCCTGGTGAGAACTAAGTGACAAATATTTTGGAATATTTGTTAATGATGAATGCCTTAGAAGAAACCAAAAATTTAAATCTCCATTAATTTGGTTAACCTTTAAGGTGCTTGATTCCTTGAAACTCATATGTAAACTATTTGGATCAGTATTTTTTAAAGAGGAAGTTTTCCCATATGGCATGTTAGAATTGTGCAGTCTACTTAGAATTTATTTTTCACCTCATTTTCTAGAAATTTGTTAAAAGTAATCATTATAGTCCTTAGAATGCATCATAGTTTTTAATATTTTCAATATTTTCATGATATCATTTGCATGATTTACGTAAATTGCATAAGGTATGTGCATAATATAGACAAATAAATAAGACAATTATAATTTAATGACATGAATAGCAGGTACATGGAGTTTGGACTTGATAATAAAGTAATGGTAGTTTTAAATTTGAAAAGACTTCTCTCATTCCTATATCTAATCATTATTTGGAGGTGCATGGAGTTTAAACCCTAAACTTAAAAAATTATTGTATGGAGTTTAAACCCTAAACTTAAAATTTTAATGTATGATTCCTTTGATTGTGATCCAAGTATAACTACCAAATTCAAAGGAAAGTCATTTCATTATATTAACATGAGGCCTAGATTGTTCCTTACTTTGGTGAGCTCATTCATTTATTTAATTATTTCAAAAAATTTGTTATAGCTAGGGTTATTGATTTTGTTTAAATTTGATACAATTGGAATTTTAATTGTACAAGAAAAATTACATTGATTTTATGTTAATATATTTATTTTTTATTTCTTAGGATTTATTTGATTTTTGTATTATCATTTGGGTTATGATTCTAATATTATCTATTACCCATGTATGAAAGTAAGTTTTTACATAATTAGTGATCATTAATTTGTGAATCTTAATTTTTTTGTGTGCTCTAAATTCACAGCATCATTAAAGTTGCATTAAGAAATCTAACCCTAAATTATATTGCATCAATATTTATTGCAATGACTTAAATTTACCTGTAAGTTCTCATAGAGTGCGTTATAAGAGAATCCATAATGAGTATTGAATAGATCGAAAAGTAATTCAATAATCTACACTTAATTCCGCATAAGCATATTGAACTTGACATGGTGCATGAAAATTAATTTATTTTACATTAAAAGTTGGATGCTAAAAGCAATTTGAAATTATTAAATATATGTATGATAGAATATTAATTGGTATTAAAAATTATTGTGAGGTGAACTAAGAGTTTTCAATTACTATAGAATTCAATCAATGATCAACAACAAGTCCTTATATTTTTATATCAATTATGAAGATGCTTATAAAAGATATTTCAAATGGGAATGCCTTGGTCCATGCTTCTCGCAAATAATATAGTTCTGTTAGGAGATATACTGAAATAATATAAAATTGGAGCAATGAAAACATGTTTATAGGATAAAAAACATAAAATTAGCAAATAAAGACATTATATAAGATGCAATTTTAGCGGGTGTGCCATTGGTTATTGGCCAAAACTATTAAATAATAAAATAATATCTATCTGTGATAGATGTATTTATCTTGGAACTCTTATAAGAATGAGATTATAAATAAGTTTTAGTGTTAAAAATTTTGGTAGTTAAAGTGAAGAAGTTTCCCAAAAATACTATGTGATAAACGGATATCAAAGAGTTAAAAGATAAATTTTATAAAATTAAAATTAGACTGCTATAGAGTATGAAACTCAGTATTAGGGAGTTAAAAAAGTTGTGTATAGACAAAATGAGTGCAATGAAAAAATGTAACATCCATATGTGGCAAAACTAGGAAGTATAAATAAGGGAATGATTATATTAAACAGATGGTTGAAATAGCATCTACTGTATATAAGATAATTTAAAATAAACTAGTTGTGGTTTGCACATAAGCAAGGATAGTTAAAAATGTACACATTAGATGGATAATAATATTAGTGTAAAATGATTAGGAATGAAAATGGACCAAAAACAATTTAAAGGAAAGTTATTCACATTGATTTGCAAAGAAAACATTTAAATAACTCCTATAATATCTAACAAAAATAAATGAAGGGTAAGGATTCAATAAGGAAACCTCAAATAGTTAGGATAATACTATGATGATGACTATGATGACTAATAAATTGCCTAGATGGTATATACAATAAAATGATAAGCCCTAGGCATGATATTCATACTAGCAATGATAGGAAGCAAAAAAGAATAATAATTGTTCATACAATAAAATGTGTCAAGCTATATCTGTTATAAGTATGTCAAAGTTGTCTAATGTCTCAGAATAGCAAGTATCCTGCTATATTCATAGTCAACAAATTAAGAAATACATATTTACTGAAAATGCTCTCAAAAAACTCTATCCAATTACAAAATTAATGGGGCTACTAAAGAAATTCACAATATATGCCAATATATGCAGCACAGTAAGAAAGGTAGCATTTATTAAATAACTTACAGACTTCCGAATCATAGCCATCCGGACAGGGTTATTCTTTATCCTAGAAAGTGCCTCCTGCTCCCTTTGTCGGATTAGAAGTAATGGATCAGAATGCAGCTTCCTCCATGCATCATTTGCTGACTGAGGTTTCTCCTCAAATAAAGCTCCAGGAACAGCAGCCTAAAACATTAAATAACTCAATAAATTACAGGACAGAAACTGCACTTCGAAAGCAAACAAGCACAAATTATACGATGAAATGTGGCTAGATTGTACGCAGGATAACAAATTAACCAATGAATGCCAATCCTTAACAGAGTTAAAGAGGACCGCATACAAGGAAACTCATCACCGTCTAACCTGCATTCCAAACCAGATAAGTGAAAGATTAACAACAATCATCACATCATGCTTCAACACAGCACGTCGAACAGGTTGTATTGAAACACCAGGATGTTTGCTGGTATGGGGAGTGGCCTATAACGTAACAACCACAGACCGTGGAATCAAAGTAAAGCTGCTATAAATGCGCTAATAACAAAATAAAGATAAGATTCGCTTCATTTTTTTCTCAAAAGAGAATATAATGCTTTTAGCAACATAATAATCATCAATATCAGTATTGTTCCAACTATTTGAGATCGGCTATATGAATATCTTTATTCTCTATTCATTCCTATTGGAGCTGCATATGAGCCAAGCTTAAACAAGCTTATTGTTTGTTCGGCTTATTCAAAAATTTGTTCGTTCGAAAATATATTAAACAGGACTAGTTACAAACAATTTTGCTACCCCTAAAGAAAAGGGTGTATCCAATGCACAAGGATCAGGTCAATGCAAGGTCTTACTCCTGCAATGCAAATAGTTTGTTACCATGAATCGAACCAAATATCTGGGCACAATGGAACAAAGCTAACCATTGCTTCAAGCCTGCCATCTATGTTTATCACCCTAAGATTCTTAAATATGCATGAAAATAGTTATCAAAGTAATAATGAATGACCACCTCATATCACAAGCTTTGTCAAGATGTGATTTAAACATTCCACTATTCCTTAATTACTATGCTAATAAGAATAAATTTGAATAGCTAAACTTGGGGTCCTCACCACAAGTGGAGAAATGGATGACAGAAGAATAGCTTCATCTGACATTTGTCATAGACAAGAATATATAAGTGCTACATTATGACAACCAAATTTCTTAAAAGCTCATTATGGTACTGATTAAAACACATGTTCTTTGAAGCCTAATTATTGACAGGTAATATTCCCTAAGAAACACAACCTTAGAATTATATGACCTTGAACCGCAAAGTATGGACACAATTTGAAGATACCATACAAAATATAATTAAAGGTAAGGATAGGACATCTAAGAATTTAATATATTCACGTCATAGCAATATGAGAAATATTTGTGGAAAATACGTGTTATTTGTGTCCATATGTGAATATAACATCTCACCATCTGTATATGCCAAACATATATGTGTAATATACATGTGTAATATGTCCCTATCTGTGCATGTGTATCTGTGCATGTGTGCATATGCAGTTACGTGTACAAATGGATATAAAGAAAGTGAGATGGATGCATAAAATCCATTAATACACAAAACATAAATAAATAGTAAGTGTAGATATATAGATGTGGCTCAAAAGAAGTAGATATATACAATATTCATATGGATGAAATACAGTTGTCAGCCAATGAAAAATGCAGCATAAATAAATCAAAAACTCAATAATAAACATCAAATGCATATATATAGTGCAATAAACGTGGTGCGCCACATTCATGAAAAAACTAAATTTGCAATAATGTCAAGTGGTCAAAATAGAAAAGAGCTTCAAATAGATTATCATAAAGACTTGAAAAAGAAAACTTTTGCAATTAGTGTATACATCCAAGTATTAGCTAGTAAAAAATTCACTAATAGCCAACTTGACCATGTATGAATGAGAACATTAGGAAGGATGTGTTTGACAAATCTAGGAAAGATAATTGAAAAATAATTTATAAAGATGGTAAGATTAGTGCCTATTGATGATAAGAATGTGGTAAATAGAGTTTAGATGGCTCGACCATGCATAGTGAAGGAAAGAAAATGAATCCATAAGAAGGCAAATAAAATTAGTATCCAAACATTAAGAAAGAAAAGAGCATATAAAATATAATATTGATATAAGTCATATAAAAATATTGGTGTGGAATATGTCTACCACCTCATGCAAAACTAAATAGTTAAGATAAGACTAGTGATGATATATAATTCACAAGTTCAAGCAACATCTCAGATGTAATAATATTTCCTTTGTATAAATATAAAAAATATTAACATCATCAAATATCTTCAAAATCCAACCATTCCTTTTTAAATTCAAAATCAAAATATTAATCGGCACACTAGACACAATATCTTTGGGGCATCAAAGTAGAAGAAATAATCATATAATAAAATGACAACTCTTTAGAAGTATATGTCCCTTATAGCATATGAATCTCTATTAAATAATCTAATAACTTAAATCTCCTGTAGCACAAAATAGTATCTCGATTACTATAAAGGATAAGATGATGAAATGAGAACTCTTTAGAAGTATATGTGCCTTGTAGCTTCTAAATCCTAGTAAAATAATCTAATCCCATAATCACATGCTCATCCCAAAATGAATCAGAGAAAAAGACAAGCCTAAATGAGCCACCCCTACAAGCATATAATGCAATATTGCACACAAGCAGCTTCAGATATGATCTCGAGAATAACAAACTCAGACATATAGAAAATTACAATGCAACTAATATGCAACACATAATACACAACAAAAGTGACAATTGAGTTCTCATATATGACAAGTATGCATTTAACGCAACCAAGCAGCTATAGATATTCATGACTTCCTTGCTCTGATAGAGAATAGCTCAAATCTAAGATCAAGTCCTTTGGTATACTATTGCAGGTGGGATTTAAACCTTGATTAAATCTGACCAAATAGATTTTATGAGACTTTAAGGGGGGCATTTTGATATAAGATTTAAGCAGGATTTGAGTTAAATCCTACCAAATGCAAAAAAAATGCTATGTTAAATCTCAAAGTTAAATCCTGATTTCATGCCATTTTTTCCATATTTGTCGTAAATCCCGAATTTACGAAATCTGGGAGTTCGACAGATTTATAGGTTTAAAGGACATGAAGCATGGGAGAAAGGTGCAACAAACACCTGTTCTTTCGTCCACTTAAGCTCGACAGGCAACCAACCGAAGGTAAAGCAACAACGACAATGAGGGAATGCTTAGTTTAGGTGCACAATAGGATGAGATAGAAGGGAAGGAAATCAGAGTAAAGGGCATAGAGGTGAAAGATGAGAAGAAAGAAGAGAAAACATTTGTGTTGGGCATCAAAATAGACTCCAAGATAAAAGAGCTATTCAATTTGACCCTCGTTAGCATCACTATCTCCGATAATTGTGTGGTATCCGTCCATGTTCACCGCTTGTCCTATCACTCTGTTAGTGTTGATTTCCACTCTAAAAACTATTTCTCATTGTCTTCTTTATCTAAAAATACTTCATTTCCCTTTATTCTTGGTCAGGTGGTTCAAACCAATATGTGGACATGTTGGAGCCGATGCACAAAGCATATAAAGGTTTTTGAAGCCTAATACAAGTATTGTTTGCTTCTTCAAGCTACCACCTTTAAGCTCTTAGTCATTTCTCTCCCTTGAATTTGCGAACACTTCTATTATTTTCCCTCTTTTCTATTTACTTTTGATTTGGTTATATTAAGAAGCTAATGTACTTAAGATTTGTAGAAATAGATGGGCAGTGTAGCTTTTTTTGCATGATTACATGTATTTGTACTAACTATTATTATTTCATTATGATTTATTTACATAAAGCTTATATGAATTAACAACCTTAAATCTCAACTTCCGTTGTCAACCAATTTCACAGCATTTAACATCTTTCTTTCAAACAATTTGTAGTATTTAAACACCCATAACATTTAATAAATTTGGATTTACAAAAAAGTTACTAAATCATATTTTGAGTTAAATCCTAGTTGATTTGGATAAACATCATTTCAACCCCATTGTTGTTTAAATTGAAGAATTGTTAAATCAGAATTAACCGATTAAAAAATTTTCCCTAAAAAAATATTAAATCTTAAAACAAATAGTAAAACAATTTAGGATATAAGTAACGAGATTTAACAGTTGCCATGCCAAGAAATTTTCAGGTTTTAATCCGGTTAAAATTTACTAAATATGAATAGACAGGATTTCTACTTGAGTTAAATCCTACTTGTAGCCAAACAGCCCTCCGATGACAAAAGCTAACTAAAAACATACCTTAGACGAGCTAGACTCCGCTGCAGTGGTCGAAACCCCACCTGAAGACTGGACTTGGAGCGCCTTGAACCCATCGGAGCTCCCCTTCCCCACCGCCAACCCCGACTCATACAGGAAATCCAACCGCTCCTGCCGTCTACAAACACAAGATTCGACAAAAAAAAGTGGACGTGAGATTACACCACCATGGCAACAAATTTTAAATCAAACCCTAGCCCTAATTATAAGAATAAAAAAAGCATAGTAGGAAGCATACGGGACGAGGCCAGCCGCCTCTTGGAGCTGCCTGAACTCGGATCGTTCGCGCTCCTCGTGGATCTGCTTGCGGAGCTCCTCGAGCTTCTTCTGCTCGGCGTCGTGCTTCTGCTCCGCCTTCCACACGTTCTCGATATTCCGAAGGCTCCCCGTGTGCCATCCTTTCTTGTTCAGAAACTTTAAAGCCATCGCCTGAAAACCCTAAAAATTACTTTCCCGTCCTTTTTCTTTCTGATCCCTCCAAATCTCCTGGGTTCTTCCCTCTGGCTTTTCAAGCTCCGTCGGGAAGTTATTCAGAAGCAGCGGGAGATGATAGCGCTGACTTGGATTATCGCAGGTACATAAGTATTGCAGATCATTCCCGTTGTTGTAAAAGGATCCGCGGGGATTGAAGGGTAAGGCTAGGTCCGTGGCTACGTACCTTTTGCTCATTTAAAAAAAAATCTCCTATTTATAATAAAATGAAAATCAACTAAATATTCACCAAAATTAAGATAATTCTTTTTTGAGGAAAAATAATTGATAAATATAATGAGAAATAGCTATTTTATTAACTATTTTATGATAAATAATTGATAAATATAATATATAGAATTAGTTTTGATGAAGTTAAGAGATGATATTTGGCATATAATATGATTGTAATATAATATAATTTGAATTTAATGTGCTCATAATGCTATAAAAAAGTAAATCCTTGACATAAAAAAAAAAAATCTCACACAATCAATTGAAGCATTTAGACAAGTATGGTATTAGACTGTAGCACAATGAGATTACTTCTGAAATATGAAAATAAAAATGTTGAATAAGGCTTTGTTTGGATAGCTTTCTTATTATTTATTTTTCATATCTCAATCATAATTTTTCATATCACAATCCAATATAACTAATAATGTCATAATTTAGTGAGCTTTTGATAGTTATATTTTTTGGCCTAGTTAAAATAATTCAACTAATGTATATCATTTGTTATAAATGATGCCCTTCCTTCTAATTAGGGAATGCATTGATATAATATAATAGATACTAACTATAGAAGATTGACTCCATGGTGAAAGTTGTAAGAGCCTTGAGGCATCAAAGTTTTCTTCAAGAGATTATTTATCATATATTCAATCATTCTTTTTTGAATAGAGAAGAACATCAACCAAGAGGTCTAATATAAATATTGATGTGGACGTAAGGAGTTAGAGTCGTGCAACGCCATGCTCAACATTATAAGCAATAATGTGCATCAATGTTAGTGGTGACAAAGTCTATGAGTGCTGGCCTTTGTAATGATGGCATGCATTAATTTTATAGGCGATACAATATATTGATGCTATTGATGAAGTCAGTGATCATTAATGGTGCCGCAACATGTCTCAACTTTATAGGCGATGAAGTTTGCAGCATTGATGGTGGATGAGAGAGTGTAGTCGAGCAATGGTGGCCAAAAGGATCACAATCTAGCAATAGTTGCCAGGAGACTTTAGTCGGACAATGGTGGTTAGGAGACTGTAATAAGATATTGTGGCCGAAAGAACATAGTTGATGGTCGGAAGATAGTAAAACAACGATGGACAAGAAATCATAGTTAAGCGATGGTGGAATCAAGTAGCGATGGTTGCAGGATCGTAGTCGGGGAGATAGTGGCCATATGTTAATAGTTGAGTTATGATGGCCAAAAGATCGTAATCGTGTTATATTGTTATAAGACTATAGTTGGGTGATGGTGGTCGAAAGATCATAATCAAGCGATGATGATTAGAGGAATGTAAACAAGCAATAGTTGTCAAGAGATCATAGTCAGACAATGATGACTGAATGATTGTAATCAAGTGATGTCATTCAAATAACCATAATCAGGAGACGATAACTAGAGGATCATAGTCATGTGAAGATAACTAGAGGACCCAAGTTGAGCGACCAAGTTTGAGAGACCATAGCCAAGTAATGGTAGTCGAAGTACTGTACTTGAGTGGCTGTGATTGGGAAATCATAGTCATAGATAGCAGCTAGATGATCGTGGTCAAGGGATAAGTATCAGAGGACTATAGTCAGATAATGAAGATCAAAAGGTCATAGTTCGGAGATGATGGTCTAAGGGTGCAAATGAGTCAAGCAGACTCGCAAGCCTGCTCGTGTTCGACTCAATAACAAGCTCATGAGTCGAGCTTAACGAGTTTTGAGCTCAAGTAGATTTACGAGCTCGTTGGGTAATCGAGCTTGAGTTTGATTGAGTGGTTGCTCAACTCGTTGATTTGTCGAGCGGCTTGAGCGCGGAAGACAGAACCACGAAGGCACTGAAGGCGAAAGGCAAACTCATGAGAGCGGAAGCGGGAGTAATAGGTGGAATTGCATGTGCAGAAGGGCGGAAGTGGGTGCAGAAGAGGAACGGGTGTGAGTGTAGAAGCACGAAAGTGAAATCGTGTGGAATCTCAAACACAAAATTGCTTGGAATTACGGACGCCAAAGCTGGAATAGGATTCGAAAGCAGAAGAGAATGCCGGCCTTACACCTTGCGAGCTCGCATCCATAACCATAAGTCTAGCTCGAGCTTGAGTTAGAGCTCGCAATTTGAATGATGAGGAGCTCTGAGTTAAGCATGACTTGAGCTTGCCTAGAACCGCGGACGCAAAAGGTGGAATAGGATCTAAGCCTAGCTCGAGCTTGAGTTAGAGCTCGCAATTTGTACATCGAGTCGTGCTCAAGTCATGCTTAACAAGGAAAATTTTTGTTCAGAGAGAGAGAGAGAGAGAGAGAGAGAGAGAGAAATTCTTGCCCAAATTTGGGGACGAAATTAGAGAGGCAAGGGAGGAAGATTTTGCCGTGACGTCGAGCCGATGGAAGAGTAAATGTGAGGATATGAATCCTGTTGCTCGGGCAGTGGGTACTACGCAAACCTAAGGGGCTATTGGGTAGACTCTAGATTTCATTCAAGTAGGATTTCATAAATCCTTTAAATTCATATTTATAACATTTTAGGGGGTTAAATCTTGAAAACTGTTTGTTCATCTTAAATCCTATATGACTATTTGACTATTTCATTCAGGATTTAAGAAGGTTGAAAATTTTGGATGGAATTTCTTTCTTCCCGTGCCAATAAAGCAAAGAGGATTTCAGAAATCCGCCTAACGAGAGAATTTTGGAAATCCGAGATTTACGACGAAAAGGTGAAATTTTCCGCCTACGATCATTTTCCGTGAGATTTGGTTTTGCATTTTAGGCCGTTTGGCTGAATTTTCCCTCAAATCCAGCCTAATCTGCATACCAAACAGCCCCTAAGAGTACAACCAATGATCCGCTAAAGATCAAAGACTGCACATTCCAGCTTAAAATGATTCAATTACATTCTGAAAATGGATTGGCTTGACAAAAAGATTTGATAATTCTAAACAATGGTCACTTTAATTATATTGCTCAAGGCTGTAGCTACCGCTAATGCACATTTAAAGAAGATAAGATTAAAGGAAAAAAAAAAGAAACTTATCCGATTACCAGTTGACTCGTCTCTCAAAAATGAACTCTAGGAAATAAATAAACTTTTTTGATGGAGAAAAACAATATAGTACCCGTAAGGAGTAAGCCGAGTTATGTAATAAATCAGCCATTCTTCTATGTATTTGTTATTACAGTGCATGGCAACTTTCAACTAATATGCATGGTCATAATATAGTTTAACTTGCCAATTCACAAAAACTGTATCAGATTACAGATCATAAACTCTCGCAAAAAATAATGAATGTTACCATGGAAAATGGAATGGTCACCATGAAATTAGCTGCTTGAGATACTCTACAAAGATTCGCATTAAGTGAAGGTCGGGGATTGTTGATTGCCAAAGCATAAATGCAAACGGGATTAGATTTAGGCTTTGTTTAGGATGGCTTTCTTACTACTTCGTAAAGCGGCTTTTTAGAACAAAATTTTTATTTTTTGTATTAAAAAACAGTTTTGAGAAGCAGAAAGAAAGCTGTCCCAAACGAGGCCTTAAGGACCTTTGCATTAACTTCCTATAGCATTACCCACTAAGCTAGCTGTATGTTGCATGCATTTTATAGCAGACAAATTGACGAGTGTTTCCTTTTTCTTTTCTACAGATAAAAGGAAGTTCTTTGAGCCAATATTTTTTGCAGAGCATATAGCCAAGTGCTTGCTTCATCTTTCATGTATATCTTATGCTTCAGAACTGCTCTCCGTATCATAATTCTTAACTGAAACTCCAGTGTAAGGATTCTTTTTCCTAGTCTTCTTTGACCTCGTTATCTCTACTTTTCGTTTGGAGAGGACCATTGAAATAGCAACCAAGAAACCGACCACAGAAAGAGCCCAAATACCAATCATCCAGATCCTCAAAGATCTATCCAGAAATTTTGATCCATGAAGCAAAGATATATTAGAAGCTTCTGAAACAGGCAATTTACTTTTTCTATATACTATTTCCTTCTTTTCATCAATTTTTCCATCCAACAATGCAGGCTGTGAATTAATGATGCTATATAAAGGACACTTCCTCCGTTCGTGATGCAATTGAAGAGCACGGTTCAGTGCTTGTCCACATTCAATGCTAAGGAGATCCCTTTGCAAGGCTTTTTCATCCATGGCGGTAAGGTCAGAAGGATGCGGCGGCGGTTCGGGGAACTTGGCCCAGCAGGTGTTCACCACATCAGTGGTTCTCCAGTCAGCTTTGTCAAAACTCCAGTTACCAACAGTAAATCTGAGCCCATAATGAAAGACTTTATAGTTGACACCAGGATCAGGAACATAACCGGGATATATTAGTATGTCTCTTCTAACGATATGCTTCAAATTTAGCTGCATGAAAGTTAAACAAAATAAGAAGTCATAAATTCATGCCGAGTTTTGAAATTCTCCCCGCCCATGTAAAAGATTAAAAAGGTGGTTCAGTTGCAGTGTTGATGGAGAAAAAAAGGGGATAACTAAGGAATGTACATGATACGCTGAACGTATATAGTGGGATATTTATTGATTTAGAGAAAGCATATAATAAATTCCAAGAGAAGTGCTTGGAGAGTTCTTAAAAAGAAAGGATTTAATAATGCTTATATTCAAGTTATTAAGGATATGTATGCAGAAGTTGTGTTCAAATATATGGTGGTTTGACCAAGTATTTTCCTATTTCAGTTGGATTACATCAAGGATCAGCTTTAAGCCTGTATCTTTTTGCTTTAGTCATGAATATTCTCAATAGGGATTTACAAAAGGATGTACCATAGTGTATATTTTTTGCTGATGATATTCTTTTGTTGAAAAGAATATAGAGGGAGGAGTTAAAGGAAACTTGACTTATAGAGGTTAATCTTAGAGTTTAAAGGTTTTTTGTTTGAGTAGAACTAAAACTAAATACATAGAGTAATATTCGTAGTAATAAATCTAGTGGGGGATTGTGACTTTTGGTGATCAAGTCATTAATATGAGTGCACATAGATATCTTGAGTCTATTGCTCAAAGTGATGGTGAAAAAAATGGGGATATTATTAGTAGAATTCGGGTTGGATGGTTGAAGTGAAGGAATATATCGGACCTTTTGTGCGATAGAAAATTACCCCTCAAACTTAAGGAAAAATTCTATAAGATGGTGGTGAGACCTACAATGCTTTATGACGTAGAATGTTAGCCATTAAATGAGAAACATAAAATTAACTTAAGTGTTGTAGATATGAGTATGCTCCGGTGGATGAGTGGCTTCACTCTTAGAGATAGAATGTGAAACGACAATGTACATGAAAAGGTTGGATTAGCTCTAGAGGCAAATAAGATTAGAGAGAGTCTCCTTAGATGGTTTGGACACCAAATGTAGACCTTTCAATAACCCAATTAGGAGAGTAGATGTATTGGAATGTTAAGAAAGGTAAAGATATATCTAGAAAGACTTGGCTAGAAAATATTAGAAATGATATTTTTATTAAATTTAAATAAGAATTTTACTATTAACATGACACAATGAAAAAAAAAAAGGATTCATGTAGCTGACCCCACGTAGTGGGATAAAGGCATAGTGTTGTTGTTGTATTATCAAACATCATTAGTCATAATACATAGCCTCTGATCATAGTGGTGGCAATATCAAAACCAACATCCCGACTAAAGAAAAGGATGCATCTTTGTTCATCAAGATCCGTAAGAAAAAATAAGGATTAAAATTTGATATGTCTATAGTAGAAACACATAAAATGCACTAATACTAAAAAAAATTATGCAATTAATACATGCATGCTACAGTGTGTGTATGATTGCATGATGCGGAGAAGGCATGGATATGGAACACATGCATGGCACATTCGTTTAACTCCACAACCAATCTAGCTCCTAAAAACTGATAAAAGGCATTAGGGTCATTTATGTAATGTGTAGATTAGGACTATGTTAATTAGTCTTTATGAGTTATTGTTATTTAGAGATAAATAATATGTATTAAGAGCTAATAGGTAGTTTATGAGTCTTTAAAAGTTTTGTATTTTTATTAATAGTCTCCATTATGAGACATTAGGGTAACGAATGAAAAACAAGAGCTAAGCCTCCCCAAACCTGAGTTCTGATCTCTTTCTCTTGCCCACTCAACTTTTGAAATTGCTAGCGAACTAAAATCATAGCTTATTTCTAATCTAATAATCGGTTTGTATCAATGACATTCTCATTGAGTCTCATTGCCGCCTAGTGCCCTATTTTTGTTGATGATGTCCCAGCTCTAACATCGCTTGAATCTATTCTTGTGTCTCCAATCTCCACTCCAACTTTGCCCAAATTTGATTTTCGATGTCCTGGTGTTTCCTGATGTTTGCCATCATCCCAGCCAAATAAAAGAGGCAAAAAACTAATCAAAAGTTTAGCCTCTAGATCCCATCACCTAGTCATTGTCGTTTAGCCTATCCAATCGACATTGTTGATCCTCCAAAATACCATCATTGATCATCTTTTCCCACCTCAAGATCTTATTATCGTTCATCTTGCCTCATACCCCTCAACATCAACGTTCCAAACCTCTTGCCACAGTCGCCAAAGAGTAGATCCGAATGTCCTTGCCCTATCCGTAACTTCCAACCTTACCACCTTCAAACATCATGAGATCTTGCCAATCTATCAATCCCTAGCGCTCAGCCTCAAATCTAAGAATGCTAACCTGCCATAGTATCATCACCAACCCCACTTCACTTGACCCAAAGCCCGTATCTCTTGTTGCCATAATGCCTCTACTTAGGCCACACTATTGACCCATAAATTAACAAACACACGTAAATAAGTGAAAATCGACAACTTCAGTGACAATCGGGGGTGCGACGCGTCACTTAAGTAGTCAAACGACCTCCGATCACCAAACAGACTGTGTCAAATTCGCCTAAGAGGGAGCCCCTCGCAACAAAATTGATGACTGACGCCCGAAATTGACACGTCGCGCTGCCCAAAGGACGTCCGAAAGCAAAACAGACTTTGTTGTTGCATTCGGAACGTCGATAATACCTAAAATCAACTGTAGTGTTTCCCAAAGAAATTCACGTGCAAAAATTGGCATGAATTCCTAGTCAACGATATATGAATCGAGGCTAAAATGAGATATCTCATTTTTCTATTATTTTAAAATAAAAATTATTTTATAATAATTAAATGAAATTAAAATGAAAAAACAAATCAGAAAATATATATCGTATCTCCTGTGATGGCTCTGATCGAATCCCCAAAATCTTGGCGATGTTCGCGTCTCCTCCTACAAATCCCACGACTCGTCTAGATCAAGCTTTGCTCTCGTCGATAAAACGAGACCGAACAACCTCTATTTCCTCTTCTTCTACGAATATGAGCCTCCATAATTAATCCCTCTGACCTTCAGAGCCATCAATCCTCCCAACTTTCGACTCTTCAACCCAACAGTACTCTGCCAACCCAGCTCCCATAGCTGATCCTCCCTGCTCAACTGAGCCCAGCTTTTGATCCCTTACTGCAAACCGCACATTATCGATCAAGCAGACCTCCGACTTCCACTACCTACGCCTATAGTTGAAACCACGAGTCAAGTTGCTCAACCTTCGATCCACCTGCAATCACGTAAACATACCCAATCCTGTACACACAATCCATCCAAAATCCACAAGAACACATCCCAGTGCCGACCGACACCCAAATCGGCCCGACTCCCGCAACCTTGCCCGATCTCCTGTGCTGAATTTTCAGCAACCACCTAGCTGACCCGCTCCTTGCGGCTACTTTCAACCCAGCTACAGTCGCTGAACTATACCTAGTCGAGCTCCCCAAGCCAACTTGCCTCCTCCTTCCTCTCCAGTTCACAGCCTCAACCGACAAATAGCTCGACCAGCCCTCTATAGTCGTAGAACCTGCACCTCACCTTAACCGATCCCTTGCTGTTGCCAATCAATATTTAAATTTAATAAATATTTCTAGCATTTATTATTAATTTTTTAAATATTTAAATTTAATAAATAAAATAAATTATTTAAAAAATATTCATGATTATTCTATCCGGTTTGCAAGCTCACAAGCCGAGCCTCATCAAGCTTAAACTCAATCTTGTTTACTAAACGAGCTTGAGCTCGACTCGCGAGCCGGCTCGGCTCACTTACACCCCTAAATGATAGCAAGCAAGAGGCAGTGCATGTCACAACACCCTTACAATCAACAACCACTCAGTGACAAATGAGTACATTAATCCCCTGCAAGCAAAAGATGGTCGACATACAATAAATGCAAGCACTTGCAAGCTGTTGTAGGATACCCGTCATGTATATGACATGCTACTCACCAGCAAATGCAAAAGGGTTGTGATAAATGCAAATACCTACAAAAGATTCGTTAGTGTACGACAGTCTACCTGCATAAAGTAGCAAATGATCCAAAACATAACACTACAATTCACATGTAAGAAGAAGCAATGAATTCGTAATAAAAACTACGAGCAACTGGTAAACTAAGGCAGTAAATTTGCAGTGCATGATCGTCATGCCAGATAAATCAGCTCCCATACAAACAACAGGTGGAAGACTCCTGATATCAAAGACTTTAAAACACCCTCCCGCATGTATTTTCAATCAACAGAGGGTTTCATTTAAGCATGTCATTCAGTATTACATTTACATACAAAGATATTGCACATGCGCACCCTCCTGCATGTATTTGCAATGAGGGTTTCATTCAAGCATCTTACTTAGAGTTGCATTTACATGCAAAAATATCACACGCTATAAATAGACAGTGTGCAAATACATATGCTAACATATATGCATACGTATAAATACATATGTTAACATGTCAACATGCAGAGGTGTCGCATACGTCCACTGCATTGCATACATATAGCTTCCATATAAATACATCTTATAAAATACATGCAAATCACACACCCATATGGGCCCCGAAGAGCGTGTTATGGGTACATACGTGACGTCTGAGGATGCTACGCAAGTCAAAAAAATAAACTTAAGCTCGAGCCTGATCTTTCTATGTGAATAGATAGAAGTTGACACGGTTCAAACTATCAAACAATTATACGATCGCGACATCGACCAGGATATTTATTTTATACTTTTATATTAAACCTTCGAGATCTATAACAAAGAAAATTCATTAATAAAGGCATAAAGCCGACAACGGACCCGATCCTCTGTCGGCAAGTTGACAGAGTCGACAAGGTTTAACTAACACAATAAAATTGGCCATAAGTACTCCGATGATGGCCGTGTTAATCGAAGATCTCAACTAGAGGTGACCCTAAATATTTAAAGATACTCCCAAATTCCCATGAAAATTCAAAACTCAAGAGGCACCAAAACCTAAAATATTTAAATTGAAATAAAAACACCAAAATACTTAAATCAAAATACCAATCCACATTCCGCAACAGTTTGTCGAGATGGAAAAATCTAAAAATCACTTCAGCTCACAAAGAGCGAATGTCTAGTCAAGAATATCATTAGGATTCATTCTCAAATTATCTCTAACCAGTAAGGATGTAGCATGTATCCTCCAATTAGTTGTTTCGTTGCCAAATGACACCACAGGTAAACGATTATGATCGGGTGGTTTTGCTGCAAAATAGCACCATTAAATTACGTTCATGGTCAAAGCCCTTATGTTCCCCAACGATGCTAAATTATTGAGTAACGAATCAATAGGATATGACCAACAGGGAACAAAGCCCTCTGTTAGCTAAGGTGACTTCAAATTTATCCCCTTAGACAAACATTCATCCAAGGTCTATAAGGTACCTTTGGACGAAACAACTAATGGCTACCGACAAGGATCCTTCAGTTAGGTTAGGTCGACTACCTCCTTTGACTAAGTAGACCAGGGACCATGATGAACCGAGATAACGGAACCATGAGATCTTGATCGGATTTATCATCACTCTCCACACCAACAACTTTAAGTACAAGATAGTAAATTTTTAATTTTAAATATTAAATTTTCAAATACCTAAACATGCTACTATTATACGCCGAATACTACGTATCTGCTTAACGACTAGTCTTAATTGAAAGTTCTCTCTCGCAATCGGTAGGGGTAATTAACTATAGGGGATTGCATCAATAGGAAACCTAAACTCATATCATAAAGTTCTCACAAAATTAGGGCGAAATCTTTGGATAATGTCTTATTCAAAATCCAATTTGGCTTCTGAAAATTTGCCTCGGAACTTAAACGTTAAAACTCTCGTTGATGACTCAAAAAAGAAAGAAAGGGTCCGCAGATAGGTCGGAAGCAAATTTTCGGAGCCCACACACACCCACTCAGTCAAACACCAAACATCTAGTTTTCACAGCCACCACTTGCTTGACATTGAGGAAAAGTCCATTTAAAGGGGCGGGTAATGTTAGTGTCTATAATGTAAAGGATAGTTTATGATTAGATTAAAAAGTTTATGTGAGTTATTGTTGTTTATAATTGAGTCATAGGTACTAGGAGCTAGTTTATAGTTTATGAGTCTTTAAGAGCTTTGTATTTCTATAAATAGTCTCCTTAGAAGGCACCAGAGCAATGAATAATGAATTGAGCTAAAACTCCCAAAGCCTAAGGTATGATATCTTTCTCTTTCCCACCAGATTTTCGAAGTTGTTGACAAACTAGAATCACCATATATCCCTAGTCCAGCACTTGGTTAGTATCACAAATAAAATTCAAACCCTAATTATGAAGAATAGGTCAAGGCACTCGTAAATGCAAGAAAGCTGCTATGCCTAACCTTTATTAGAAAGTAGTTACAACTATGATTTTCAACTCTAGTAATCAGATCAAGCTCAAATTAATTTAATCTATTCAAAGGCTATATCATAAGGTTTTACATGTAAACCATACAAGAATCTTATTCAGTCATCAAATCATCGATAGATTACGACCAAGTAGTTAAAATACATTTTGTGAAGCATTAAATAATCAACAATTACATCATAAGGGATTAATATACATACTACACAATTTTTATATAGTTATATATTTATCACCTAAATCATTATATTTTTTAATATAACACCCTAGCATTTAAATTACATCAAAACATGAGTATGAAAAATATATTTCAGTTAGATAGTTTAATATTAGTGGTATTTTTAATGAGATTTATATATTATAGTATTATAAAAGTAAATATAAAGATCTAGGTGTTATATTAGTAAATATTTAAGAATTTTATAGCATATATATAAATCAATCTTAAATCATTCATTACTTAATCCAAAATATCTTTATTTCAGTCAAACTGTTTAACCTATCAGGCAAGAATCCAGCATGTACTGGAGACCTGACACACCAATCAACCTGACCAAGCTTTCGAAGGGGCTGGTCCAGAGTTGAGGTCTATTGGTGTTGTTTATCCTTTGTTTTGGGGTCAATTCAATATAGAAGTAACGCCTAGGATAACCCTGAAAAACCAACCCGACCGATATTGAATTGACCCCAAAACAATGGATAAACAAATAAGCATAATTTTAGACATACTAATTTCAATAAGTACATTCCTCTTATAAAAATTTGTTATCTTAAGGCTGCAGTTTTTAGATCCAACACTTGACTGATGTCGTGTTGGACAAACAGGAAAAAAAACTTGAAATGCCCATGCTTTGCACAATTTCAAGAAAGTTGGCCAAGGTATATGAGGAGGGCCCGAGTAAAGATAGGTATATGATGAGCATTTAAAGAAGGTCAAGTTTTAAGCAGGCCCTAGTAAAAAAATGCGTCTCCTCTTAAAGCATCCTGGCTAGTGTATGAACAATGAAAACAATGCAAGTATATTTGAGAGACTGAAGCATAGCAGAATGTTGTCCAAATATGTTTTCTTTTGCCCTCATTAAGGATGATAATAAATAAATACCTCAGCTGCCCCAAACGAGTAGCCATACATTTCACTAATCCAGCCAGATGAATATATATCCCCAGTGAAATTTGTGGCATAATGAGCTTTATCAGCTCGAACCTCCTCTGTTTTATGAAGCCAATATAGTGCAAACTTCCGCAAGTCTTCTATATGCATTACTATGACACCACCAACCTTGTCGCAAGCTCCAGGATTGCGTGTATGAATCTTCGCAAGCACATTATCACTGCCAATAAGGTATCTGGTATGATAAAATGTATTTTAAGCATTTTAAGGAAAAGAAGTACACAGTTTTAAAGATCGGAATGACCTTGCTTTGAATTTAAATGTCTTACTCGTATGGTGTTGAAACTGGATGGCCACGTTCAGCTCCATATTCCCATGGTGTGATGGGGCCTCTAAGTATCATATCAGCATCAAGGATGACAACGAACTCTGCATCAGTCTCCACATGATTAAGCCAATGGAGAACAGCGGCTGGTTTATTGATCGCAGGGTACCTAGAAGCCAAAAAAATTGAACCATTAGTGGAGAGCCTGAACACAAAACCAAAACAATTTTTAGTTGCATTAAGGGTCTTTTGGGGACACACGTAAATGAAAGCTAGACTACAAATAGGAGCTCTGATACTCGCATAATTAACACCATTAATCCGCATTTTAACTGATTAAGAATAGGGGCATCAAAAAATGACCCAACCTACAAATCTGATCCAAAACTGACCTAAAAAATCTGAGAGTTCAGGTTGATAGTTTAATAAATGGGTTGAGTTTAGGTTCAGATCCGGAATTCCAACACATTTACTAAAAGGGTCGGGTTTAGGTTAACCCGCCAACCCGATTTTGACCCAAAATGACCCGTTTAATTATTTTTTTCTTAATTTTTTATTTGTCGGTATGATTGTCTTATTTTATAATTAATATAAAATCTTTTGTTAAAATTTCATAAAAAAATTGTTTAAATAAAAATGGGTTATCAGCTCGGATTCAAGTCATTCAGGATGCTAGCAAGTTAGGTTCAAGTTCGCCTTCTTAACCCATTTATTAAACAAGTTCAGGTTCAGATCTGGAATTCCAACACATTTACTAAAAGGGTCGGGTTTAGGTTAACCCGCCAACCCGATTTTGACCCAAAATGACCCGTTTAAATTATTTTTTTCTTAATTTTTTATTAGTCGGTATGATTGTCTCATTTTTTATTAATTAATATAAAATCTTTTGTTAAATTTTATAAAAAATTTGTTTAAATAAAAATGGGTTATCAGCTAGGATTCAAGTCATTCAGGATGCTAGCAGGTTAGGTTCGAGTTCGCCTTCTTAACCCATTTATTAAACAAGTTGGGTTCTGATTGATCGGATTTTGATCTAGTCAATTTCGAGTCAAACTCAAATCCAACCCATTATCATTTTGACAACCCTAGTTAAAAATTGTATTATATTTCAATGAATTAAATATGGAATTGAAAAAGATGATGACAACTTTAAAGTTCATTTTGAGCTGCACATGCTTTTCTACTTTTGTTTTTAAAATATATTTTGCAATCACTGTGGACCTCCGAAAGGACACTGCCGGCTGCAGAGTGCAGAGGGTATACGACTGCATCACCCCGAGGGATAGAAATGATCGCAAGCCTCCGCATTCCTCACTAACGGGCCATTGGAAGGGCAGATTAGATCGTACATACAACTAACCATTGAGGATAGTGGCTCTTGCCAGTGCACCCCAATGGGTAGTAATATATACGACCTGATCAAAACAACGGTTTTCCCCCACCCGATACATCAGCTCGAGTGGGGTTTATTTGATAGTGGAGTTCCGTTTCCTACGGGTGCAAGCTCCCGTGGTTAATTACAACTCAGGACGGAGCCCGAGAAAACTCTCGATTAAGGATCCGATATTATTCTTCCCAAAAGGGGGATTAATACGCAAATGGAGACTAAGGAGTTCCTACTCAAAAAGAAAGAAATGTCTCAAGTGGCTTAGTCAACATACACGTTCATCTTAGCATCCGGAGGGACTAAGGCAGTAATGAGAGAAAGATAATCATACACTCCAATCATACAGAGGGGAAGGATGGAAATGACGTCATCCATGTGACATAGATAAATAGGATTTATAATCCCTGAAGAGAAAGGACTTACATACTGGTGAGACATACTACGAGACACCCAATGTAGTAGACTTGAATCCTAGATCTAAGGTGGGTTTAGTGTTCTACCCAACATTAACATTCGTGTCCTAGCTAATACACCTGTGCTTATATCCTGCATGAAAAGGAAAGCCAGCTAATCACCTAAACGTGTAAAATCCATAATGTCCGGTCTTTATGAAAGATAAGTAGGTAGGATGAGTGTTTTGAAAATATGACAGACATCTAGAGAGTTTCCTAATTAGTCATGAACTTATATAGAGTGAATGCTCCTAAAACTAATGCAATTAAAGTTTTAATTAAGTTAGTTTCTTATGCAATACATGCTAGTTAAAAATTTCAAATCTGATATGCTTGAGATTTAAAAAAAAAACAGGCTTATAAAAAAAAATTTAGAAAAGACTAGGCCTCCCCAGGTCCGGCACTTCATCCTCATAGGCCATATTATCCGAACTTACCCGTAGGCGCAGAGGTGTCTTATTAAAAGGAGAGAGAGAGATGCAATAATATGCATGCGACTCTGAACGATTCCCGCTATTCCCTAAGTCGTTTAAGTTTCTAAATTATTTAATTCTTAAAATTTTGAATATTAATTACGAGTAGAAAAAATAATTTTTATCCTAGAGAGCCTAGCGCAAATCAGGCCACACACATGCAAGAAAGAAACTTAAGAAAAGCAGACAGTTTCTATTACGCACACAAAGTAAACACATTAATATAAATTCATAAAAACATAGTAAAATTCAAAGTCCATGGCAAGTGCCGTATAAGTACAACCCAGGATCTGCAGAAAAGTAATGGTGGTCAGGCTCCACTGACAACAACCTAGATTCTAATCTTAATAAATGACGCAAGTCTTAAAAGCCAAGTATTTCATCTTCAAATCACCGTCTTTGAGTGGGTTATCCTTTTCCGAATCATCTCCCTTCGGATCGTCTCATTCGGACTCCGTCTGGCTCGTCCTCCGAAAGGGTACCGAAATGACTAAGAAATTTCCAATAAAGGGTATTTCTTTTTCTCTTTGGGTACCGAATGTTTGAAATGTCGGACTTTTAAAGACTTTCACAACTCAATATAAATTACAATGAATTTTATTATGAAAATGAAAATCTAGACTAGGACTCCTGCATGGTTATCCTAATAAAACATTCTAAGTAATTGATATAACAACCCAAGGAGTTAATATTGTGCAAAAAATGAAACACACTTGACCACGCTCTTTTAATTTTAAGGAGGCTAAGCAGTCTCTGGAGCATCTGCAGAAAATAACATCAATTTTGAAAGCTTTAATTATTATTGACCATAGCGCTGTATGAGCGTGGCCACCTGCATAAGAATAGATTAGTATAAAAGCGGTTCTAGCCAATGGGCAGTCTAACGCACCACAGCATAACATAAGTGTAGAAAACATAATAAAGTAAAGCTCAACCACAACACAACAAATCCAAAACATATCAATCAATCATCCGTGCCACACACAGAGCATCACAACACAAAGCATAAAAAAGAAAATCACTGACCCTAATCCTAGAGCTAAAAGTGGTGCCCTAGCAAACATATGGTGTGTAATAAGCTTGCATGGTTTTGGATAGGTCCTATATTGGGAACATTGTTCAAATTGTCTAAAGTTCAAATTTGTTAAAGGTCAAAAAGGAAAAACTTTAATTAAAATTTAAATATTAATGAATTGAGGTCAGTTTTAGCTAATTTAGTTTGTTAATCAAATTTAATGCTTAGGGTAGTAATCTTTGAAGCTTAAGTTGCCTTAGTGAATTTTAGAAGGTCCAGGGTCCTCCTATATACTAGGCTGAGGGAGTCCACAATGTCACTATTAGAAACAAGCTAGGTTTTGGGGTCCTAGCATTTTAATTAAATATTAAGCCTTACAAGGAGTAGTTAGGCTTTAAGTTTGCTAGATTCGAAGCTTCCTAGGCCAAGTTACGAATTTTAGAAATTTTTGGCAATTAATGAATTATTAAAATTATTTAATAAGGAGTATTTTAGGGATTTTGCTCAAAACTGATTGAAATTACCCCCAAAGGTCAGGAATGAGCTAAAGAAGTATTTCTAAGTGTTTGCAAAAATTTTAAAATTTAATAATTTTTAATTATTTAATTAAGGCAAAAAGATGAATTTTAATTAACATTTAATTAAGGCTCAAATTAAAGGGCCCTAATTATCTACGATTAAGAATTAAAATCTAAAGGGTTTAAGAAATTATGAGTAATTTTTTCAGTTAAAATAAATTTATTATAATTTTTTGAAGTTAACGAGTAAATTAGAGTTTGTTAATTAAGAGGTTTAAAAGGTCCACAAAAAAATCCTAGAAAATTTTGAAAGATTTCGATTTTAGGATGTCACTAAGTTTAAATGTTGAAAATTTCATGTCAATCGGGGATCTATCTTAGCTCCCATAATTTTTTTAAGTTCACTAGATGGGTCCTTAATAATTGTCCTTAAGGTGTCACTACGTTAAATATGTTTAAAACAAGTGTTCAAGACTAAAACTTAGGGAATATATGCAACAAGTGCATAAAAACAGTAAACACATCAACCCTAAAATCTAGGATGACTAAGCTAAGTGCTCGTGTATCCACTTGCCACCCAAAGAGGATTCAAAAAGGTTAAAAATAATTTTTAATTTCAAAATAATTCTTATAATAATTATGTTAGATATTATTTAAATAGTTAGATAATCAAATAATAGATAAGTAATTACAGAAAAATAATTCTTAATGTCTGAAAATATTTCTAAGTAAAAATGCATAATTTCCTAAAAATTTCAAGGTATTATACGAAAAAGTCGGATTTAATATGAATTTTCGAAGTTTAATACATTAAAAAGATATTTTAAAATAATTTAAATTAATTATCATTTAAAAATAATTATTACATGAAATCAAATTAATAATTTTCATTTTAAATTAAAGGAAATTAAATTATGAAAATTTTGATATATTACACTTTAATTTTTGGATTTAAATTTAATTTATAATAATTATTTAAAGAAATCAGTTTTAAATATAATTAAAAAACTAATTTAAAATTAATTTTAATTAATAAAAACGGCGGCGGCGACGACGACTCGGATAACATGCGGCGCAAGAGATTTGGCTGGCTCAAACCTCGGACGCGGTTTTCAATCATTAGCAATGATTGCGCTGTCTCGCAATTATTGTTAATGATTGGCGGTGGCGCGGTAATGATTTCGTGCAACTTAACCACGTCAGCGCGGAATCTCGGACTTCTGATCCGCGCGGTAACGGGACGGATGGCCAGGATCTAGCCGAACGAGAGATCTAACCGCGGGATCGATTCCGCGGTTCGAACGAATCCGCGGAACAACGGGAT